AATATTGGAGCAGACACCCTGTCGAGGCAGGGGCTGAGGCCAGGGGACTGGAGACTCCACCCCGAGGCGGTGGAACAAATATGGGAGTTTTATGGCCAGGCAGAAGTGGATCTGTTTGCTTCTCAGCACACGGCGCACTGTCCACTCTGGTTCTCCCTCACTCAACCAGCCCCCTTGGGGCTGGATGCTATGGTTCAGACGTGGCCGAGGCTACGTCTGTACGCATTTCCCCCTGTTGCTCTGCTCCCAGGAGTTCTGGAGAGAATCCGCCTGGATGGAATAAGTCTACTGCTAGTAGCACCACGCTGGTCGAGCCAAATTTGGTTTGCGGACCTCATTCATCTCCTCGACGGCCCTCCCTTGGAGATCCTGATCAGGAGAGACCTTCTGTCTGCAGGGGGCACAATATTTCACTCCCGGCCAGAGATTTGGAAACTGTGGGTTTGGCCTCTGAGGGGGCCCAACTCATAGAGAGTGGTCTCTCAACCGAGGTTGTTGAGACCATTCTAATCTCCAGAGCTCCCGCTATGAGGAAACTTTATTCACTAAAATGGAGAGTTTTCAGACACTCCTTATTATTTTACTTCAGACTTAGGTCAGCTTTCAAAGCACATAATGTTGTATGGGGCTCACAGATGAAGGAGATCCAGTGATCAGTTGGATACATGTGGCCCCAAAAAGTGTTGTCTCTTTTCTGTATGCCAGGCTTCTATCATATTTGTCTCCTAAGCCTAGTACACTGGCATGGGATCGTTCAATGGCACTCAGAGGTAGAGAAATAGATTGGGACGCAAGCTGGGATAACATGTGTAGCTCCTATCATAATCCTAACCATCAGTTTATTCATATGAAGATTTCTCATAGGGCATATCTTACCCCTAGAGTCAGACAGTTAATTGGTCAAGCTCCACACCCATTTTGTTCTTTATGCTCACAAAATACTTTGGGGACTTGTATGCATATAATGTGGGACTGCCCTAAGATTTATGATTTTTGGAATAAGGTGTTACAATAATTGTCTGATCTGATTGATATTCAGCTCCCTATGGACCCTGTTTTACACCTTCTCAATGATGACTCTAAACTTGAAGGCATGAATGAAAGGCCTAGAAAAATTTGGTTAGCTGGGCTAACGGCAGCCAAGAAGATCATTGTTCAAATCTGGGTTCCACCCCACAACTTAGCCCATAAGCATCGGCTGAATACGTTCTTAGAGCGTTCTTCTTTTTCTTGAACTTTCTTCTGCCAAGATCAACGGCGCTACACCTCGAACTATTCAAACATGTAACAATGGAATTACCAGAGTTCAGGATTTTTTACTGGAAGGACACTAAATTGACTGTTCTATAACACTGACTGTGCTACACTGATAGTTATGTTGTATCTCATGCGGTAGGGGTGGGAGAGGGTGGGAGAGGGGGGGGGGGGGGGGGGGAGGGACGGTGGTGTAAGTGTTGCTGTTGTATCTGAATTGTTACAATAATATATTGTTACCCTTCAATACAATAAAAATTGAGTACAAAAAAAAAAAGGAGAGTTTTCACTTCTTGCTGTCACCAGCGTCAGTGGGATCCGGTTAACTGTTCAGCGAACACAGTACTCGAGTTTCTCCAAGAGTGTTTTACATCAGGTTTATGTCCATCCACGCTCAAGGTATATGTGTCGGCCATTGCGGCTTTCCACGCCCTGGTGGGTGGTACATCATTGGGTCGAGACCCCCTGATCACACGTTTCCTCCGTGGCACCTTGAGGCTGAGGCCTGCAACTCGTACTAGGGTGCTGGCTTGGGACCTTGCAAAAGTTTTTCAAGGCCTGTCTGGGACTCCATTCGAGCCCTTAGATTCGTTTTCAGGAAAATGTCTTACTCTTAAGACCATCTTTCTGCTAGCTATTTCGTCCCTCAAAAAAGTCGGAGACCTTCAGGCCCTTTCGGTTTCCCCCACTTGCCTTGAGTTTGTACTGGAGATGGTCAAGGCATTCTTATATCTAAAACAGGGATACGTCCCTAAGGTGCCGACCATGATTCCAAGGCCTATTGTGCTGCAGGCTGTCTGTCCTCCTCCTTTTACCTTTTCGGAGCAGGAAAAGCTGAACCTCTTGTGTCCAGTACGAGCATCAGTGCGAGTTCATCGGACTTCTCCTTGGAGAAGGTCCGACCAGCTATTTGTTTGCTTTGGATCACCCAAGAAAGGTCTTCCTCCTTCTAAGCAGAGGGTTAGCAAGTTGATAGTCGAGGCTATTTCACTTGCTTACGAGTCCACTGACCAGCCATGCCCTTTGGCGGTTAGAGCCCACTCTACGAGGAGTATGGCGGCCTCTAAAGCCTTATTATTTGGGGTTTCTCTTCAAGACGTTTGTGATGCGGCGGGCTGGTCCTCACCGCTCACATTCGTAAGGTTTTACAGCTTGGACCTGGATGCTGCCCCAGGGTCTCAGGTCTTTCTGGTCATGACGTCACCCGCCCGTGACGATCATTCTTTCCATTGGACTAGTGAACATATATGCTTCAGACGCATTCACGCTGGGGGCGTTCCCAAAGCGTCGTTGACGCATCGCCTCGTTCCCTTTCTCAGGGAACTATGGTTACAGTCGTAACCTGAGACGTTCCCCTTCAAGGGAACTCGAGCTGCGTTGAGACACTTTGGGGTCGTGAAGCACGTGTATAATCAGTCCAATGGAAAGACGAGATGTCACTCGTAAACTATAAAGCGCACCTGAAAAAAGACCGCGCCACCTTCTGAGCCTTCAGCAAGCGCTCTCTGTATACTGTCCCTGTCTATTTATTGTTGTCTGTCATTGGAAGCACAATATTTATCTATATATATAGCGAACAAGCAAGATTTTAAGCGATGTGTTGTTCCTTGCCCTCGTTTCATCACGGGTGGGGACACACATCAGCTTTGTGTTGCTTGTTTGGGAGTGGAGCATGCCCAGTCAGTTCTCGAGGGAGCTGACTGTGAGCATTGCGAGAAGCTGTAATGCACTCTGTGTGTGCGCGTTGAGGGAGAATAAAGCGTTGAGCGATGTAGCCAATCATATACGTATGTGTTGTTTTCTTCAGTTTTCTTGAACGCAATGGCCAATCAGAAGCATTTACGATAGACTTCCCTCACCGCTCAAAACAGACTTTTTGTTCAGTGCTGAATTATGTATGCTGGCAAATCCTCTAATTATAACAAACAAAGTGTATATATTATGAAACGTCATTGATAATAACAGATGTGATCGCGATAAACTGTCAGCTTTTTAGGAATTATTAAGGGAGCGCACAGTCATGCCAAACCATGCACGCAGGAGCTGCTTGCTTTTATGTTATAACAATGGTTTGTGTGTTAACCCTAGTGAAAAAAAAGTATGCTAAGTATACTTCCAGCCAGACTAATTGTCAGTATACTTCAAGTGTGTTAATGATTAGTTAACTTGAAGTGTGCTATTTTGGATAAATTGTTTTTGTACTAAGTGTATTTTAGTTATAATTAAATTATACTAAAGTATAACTTTAAGTGTATTTAGTGTACTTTTTGATGCTAAATTGAGACAATTTCAAGTATACTTAGTATACTTTAAGTACATGCATATTTTCATGCTTAAAGTGTACTTTATTTGTGTTACAAGTACATTACAAATTCATTATGAGTGTCTTCAAAACATATCTGTACTATATTTTAATATACTAAATTATGCTAAAATGGAACCACTTCCAATACATTTAAGTGTATTTCTTTGCAGTTCATTAAAAATATACTTTCATGTCTTAAACTAGCTATAATATATGTGAAGCATAATTTGAATGTACTTCAAGAACATTTAAATAGCATTAAAAGTGTATTAGCATTACACTAATAGCTTAAAGCTGTTTTATTCAGTATTTAAAATGGCATATTAAAAGTGCAAAAATAATTAAATATAAACATTAAGACATGCACAGAGTTTGAAAATCAAGAAAACTTTAATATAGTATCTTGTGTAAATTACATAAGAGTAAAAAAAGAAATAAAAGTAAATTAAAAAGATCAGTGAAATGCTATGGCAGAGCTATATTTATATTTTTTTTTGTAGAACATTTCAGTTATACATGTATTACTGAAAAGTACACTATGAATTTTACATCACTAAATGAGCATCACAATGCAATTTTCTGAAAAAGAAAGAAAAAAGTTTCAGAAAAATAATGTGCAGAAGTGAATAATGCATTATTTACAAACATAGGCCTACAAATGGCTGAACCAAAGAAACAGAAGAGTTTGAATGTCACATCTTCATCTTCAAGTAGACGATCACTTCTCTGAGTTCGACTCATTTTCTGCAACTGGGGCTTGTAGTATTTGAAGACTGCTTTATCAGAGGATCTTTGGAAGGGAAGAAGAATTAATATAAAATTAACCAATGATTAACATTTTTGTATCCATGTTTCAATATATGTATAATAATTTGCATAGAAATGCATTCGAATTCTGTTGACTTCTCAGTTTACCTTTAAAAGCTTTGGCTATATCCTCCTCAGCAAGCTTTATCCTCTTGTCTGTCGTCACTGTACAGCACTCTATGAGTTACATTGAACATGAGATTAGAAGAAGCCCAAAACAATTTACAGTGAGCAAAGTTCAATCAAAAAGTTACAGATATAGTTATTTGCAGCAATAAAGCAACCTGTGAGTATTAGAGGATATGTTTTATATTGATAATTGTGGTTTATTTAAAACCTAGGGTATTTCCCATGAACCTGTCTATTGTAAAGAAAGATCTAAAGATTTAAGGAAATTAGAAGTTGTTAAAAATATTGTATGCAAGGACAACTAGGACAAGTGACTTACAGCTTTACTAAAAAACACAATTAAATAAACAGATTTTTACATGAATGACTCAAAGGCAGCACAAATTAGACACCTGAAATGGACACGCGTCGCTAACATTTTCCTAACTGTCGACCACCGCTCAATAGGCCTGATTCAAAAATCTCTATAATAGAGGTGATATGAGATCAAACCATACTTACTACTCTTCTTCGCTTGTCTCTGCACTCAGATTTCAGTTTTTCTTCTATAGCAGCTGGTCTGAAAAACAGCAAATACTAATATGAAAAAAAAAAAAGAATTATATATGCATACATAGGCCTACGGCAATAATGTTGTCAAGCTTGAACTACTATAAACACCAATCAACACACACTACCATAATTGTCTGTTTATTTATGCAAACAGCAACTAAAACTTACCAGTAACTTCTGAGGCAGTATCTTCATCTCTTCGAGTCTGCATCGACGTAGACTTGAAAAGCTTGGCTCTGATTGGTCAAATTGAATGTAGCTGAACTGAAAAAGACGTGCTGTTACACTTTGTGTCAAAAACACGACTGGCAAAGACAAGTTACTTTAATGTAATACAAATCTTACCTAGAATCACAACATAATGAGGTTCAAAATGTCACACGCCATGCAAACTTGAAGAAGCTGGGTAAAATCAACACTCTTTGCCATAACGCTACGTTTCAAAAAGTTAATCACAAAAAATACCACCTAATCCATATGAATCGCGTGGTTTCCTCCTAGTCCTCTAAAGAGACACGATTGCTCTATATATTTTTAACAGTTTAAATTTAGACTTCTAAATCTAATCACATTCAAGTAACATACATGCACAGCATATTATCTGATAAATGGAAGCTCTAAGTGAGGTGCGAGCGAGCTCATTATCATCATAAGAACCAATCACAACCATTTAACGGCTCTGGAACCAATCAGGACTAGTCACGTGTATTATGCTATTGTTTGAATTTAAACAAGTACAATTTTTTTTTACATCTCTGGAAAATGTATCTATGATCAATTTCAAATAATTTGTTGAAATCCTTGTGGGAATTTTCGTAGTACAAACGTAGCATGCAGTGGACAACAGCCTTTTACAAGTAGCCTACAAACAAGTAAAAGTGAACAACATTAATTTTAGGTATGCTAATTGCAATGCTTAATAATAGTTGACAAATGTTTCTAATACATTATAAGTTGGCACATTGTAAATATATAGATTTTTAAATATTAAAATGATAAATACATACATATTTAAAATATATTGCAGTTAGGCCTAAGTGTTTATTAAGTTCGTATATTTTAAACACACTAAACGCTTAATCATTTTGCTATGTTCTACACAAAGTACTCCAAAAATGTATTGTAAGTAAGAGCAACATAAGTATGTTTTCTTTAAATGCACTAAAACTTCACTAAAAGTATGCTTGTGTTTAGCATATTTCTTAAAAATGTAACTAAGCATATTATTATTACCAAAGTACTTATAGTGCACTTTTTATAAATATGTTAAAATTATGCTTGTTTTTAGCATATTTTTAAAAGTATAATTAAGCATGTATTTATTACCAATGTACTTCTAGTGCATTTGTTAAAAATATATTAAAAGTATACTTGTGTTTAGCATATTTCTTAAAAGTGTAACAAAGCATATATTTTTAACCAATGTACTTATAGTGCACTTTTTAGAAATATGTTAAAAGTAAAGTTGTTTTTCAATATACTTTTAGAAAATATACTTAAGTACAATTATTTTAAAGTGTGTTAAAAGTTGTATTGTAAAAATAGGTAAAAAGGATGATGCTTATATACTTTTAATATATTTAAAGATAGTGCATTGTTTGTTAGTATATTTGCAATGTACTATTGAAAAAGGGAATATATTTCAAATACAATAAAGTATACTTTTTTTCCACTTGGGAATGCTTTAATAACAAATAATTTATCAGGAGCATTTATCCTGATTTAGGTGGTTTATGGTGGCGACACGTAGGCTAAATTGAAAGTATTTGGATGTACAGAAAAAAGTCTATTTGCGGACGGGAACGGGACGAAACATAAATGTTGCGGGCGGGAGAAAGTAATATAGAAAGTAGTTAAGAACGTCAGTTACAACGACCCACGTATTAAAAAATAGCCGGGTTTAAATCATTTAAATGTTTAAATTTGTTTTCTTAAAATTTCCATATAATATTTTGTGTTATGGGACCAAATCACCTGGATATTTAGAGTAAGAACATACAAATTTTGGCATACAGTACTAATTTAGAATGCAATATGTTTTTATTTTATTTTTATTTTTTTACAAGATGGGAAAAGTTTTATTAATTCTTGTTTACTTGTGTTCATTTAATTTATTTTTATATTAGAGCATTTAAAGTGCTTCTTAATGATATTATATTATATTTTAAGTTAATTTATTTATTTTTGTAACCCATTAACCCTCTGTGTCTAAATAAAGTAATAAAAGTCCCAGAGTTTAAAAAAATTGTAAAACTAGCCTGTGTGCGACTTGGTATGACTTGATGACTAAGTTGCGACTTGACTTGACTTGACAAAGAGGATGACTTGACTTGACTTGACTTGACCCTTACAACAGAATGACTTGACTTGACTTGCAATGTTAAGACTTGGACTTGACTTGAGACTTGCATTTAGTGACTTACTCCCACCTCTGCATCTTGGGGTTCGCAAATGGATCTGACAGCGGGGTTTGAGACGGCCCAGCCCTATCTCAGCCTGCATCTGCCAGATCCAGTGCCTTGTCTCAGGGAGAAGCAGGCGCTGCGTTTTCTTCTCCCCAAGATGAGGCACCAATCCAATTCCAAGTTCTGAGGAATTGGATGTCGTCAGCATTGATGCAGGGGATTATGAGAGTTCGCCAGCTCATACCCCTGAAGTTGATCTGGAGGTTGTGACTCGCGCTGTTGCCAGATTAAATATTGACTGGCCAGCCGAGGAACAATGTGAAAGCAAGAGTTTACTAGATGAAAGATTTCTATCATCTAGATCACAGCCTCCTCGCCGGGGTTTGCCGTTTGTTCCCGATCTCCACACTGAGGTGGAGAAAGTCGGAAGAAACCGGTTTCATTTAGAATTTTTAATCCTCAGACATCTAATTATAGCAATGTTATGGGTATTAGAGATCATGGTTATGTGAGAATGCCTCGGGCTGAAGAGACGCTTGCGAGCTATCTCTCTCCCAAGTCAGCGTCATCATTTAACCCTCTGGGGTCTGAGGTGTTTTCTGGGCCCTGGAGGTGTTCTGACATGCTCTGACATTTGTGTTTGTTTCTGATACTTGTGACATTTTCATGGCTAAAGTCTGATTACAATGTATTCAGCACAAACTCTGCTACAGTAATATGTCAGCAGCATGTATGTAAAAGTTTGTAGTTTTAAGATAATGACGTTTATGCGTGGTTTGTGAAAAAAAAAAATTGTCACTGAAATAAGGTCATGAAACCCATACTAATTATTTCTTCACAAGACTTTTGAAAATTGTATCATGTAGCCTAGAATATTTGCTCCAAAACTATGTGAAAATTATCCTGCCTACTCATTCAGATAAGACAATAAAGTGATTTTAGATTTCTTAGACATGTTTTGTGTGTAAGGTATGGACTGTCAGTTGACTTCCTCCTTTCCTCAAGCAAGAACGAGTGTACAACACACACACACACTCTCTCTCTCACACACACACAAAGAACGGGGGTTCTGTTACAAGACTGAGCTTTACCCTTGGAATGTCCCAGAGAGTGGGATTCCTCCTTATTCTTGCTGAGAAGAAGTGACGAACCCGGGTTTAAACCTATATATCCTATGTATATACATATAACCATGTGATACATGCATCTAATGTTCCATCTCATGATTTTCCTTTATGTTGTTTGGTCTGTGTGGCCTTGTAAACTCTAATGGGTTAATGTTGAGACGTGACTTGCATACTATGAGAAACAGAAATCACTGTGTAGCATGTTTAGTCTCGATAAACTCCAACCTTCGTTCCCATTTGTTGATTTACATTACATCTTGCTAACTTTGTGATGCAGGGGTGTTATAAGAAATCTTGAAGGTTCTTTCTCTTAAACACCAAATTAACTGACATATTCAGATGTCCTGCGAGATTCACCCGGACTGTAGCCCGCAAGCTTCAGAGGAATGGCCAGAGTCATAAAATGCTTTAGAACATTCCATGCCCTCCCCCCCCATCTCTGCAAGAGAGATAACAGAACTCTAACACACACACACACAAACCAACACACACACACATATATGAACTTTTACTACTCTCCTCATTTAAAGACATTTACTGAGGTATATTTGATATGTTGTTATGTTTGTCGATTGCCCAGGTCCTATGAAGGGATCTATGAGTGTGTGTTAGTTTAAAACAAACTGCAAGGGCAGTTAATTATGCTTTTAATGTAACTTTGCAATATAACTCTCCTTAAATGTCTTTCTTCCTTGTTCAGAATGCTTGTGACCTGACAAGGTCATTTATGTAATTGAACAAGCCATAAAATGTATTTTACTATGTTTTACCATCTTTGGAATGATTCTGAACAAATTCTGACTGATCGTAAAACCTGTGAATGCGGCCATAATTTAGCTTTGACAAGACAAAGAGAATTTTGCCGCCAAGAGTTTCGTTGAATGTCATTGGCCAGTTCGCACCTCAGAGGTGTGGACTCCAGTTCCTTTAAAGAGAACTGGACTCGCTCTTCCTTCCTCTGTCTTCCCTATCTGGCTGGTACCCTGGACTGCTCTTCCTCCAACATGTGACGCGCGCTTGACTCTCTCGCTCGCTCGTACTCTGGACTCTCCCTTCCTTCATCATGTGACTCCTTGGTCCATCGAGACCTCGTGTTCATGCGATGACCCATCTTTCCTTTGTTTGTCTAGTTCAGTTTTATTTTCCTTTTTGTATTCTCCTTTGTTCATTGTCACCGGCGAGTGAAATGAACTTAGTTTGAATCATTTCTTTGGCAACACCTTCAACGGACGATTTGAACATCCCGCCACACGGGCGCGCCGGAAAGGACCTCTGACCGGGTTCGGAACACACGTAACGTTACACAAGAGAACATGATCAGCAAGTATTCGTTTCCTACCGAGATCTAAATACTGCCAAGATTGCCTGCCCTAATTAGGGTACGATTTGACTAGTTGTCTCTCTTAACGGTTCTGTGTCTGATGAATTTTGCCAAACTCACCAGCTCTCTCTATCTCTCTCTCTTTCTATATGCATTCTCCTTCCTCGATGTTTTATTGTGTTTGTAAATACACTTATTCCTTGTAACGTTTATTAACCGTATACGTAATCACCTTTATTAAATACATATATTCATTGATTGATTCTGCCTGTGCTCATACTTCAAATCACTTAAATGTTTCGATCAGCTATAAGCTTTGAAATGGTATAATACTTTAAATAGTATTGTGACGAAACAGGAGAGCTATCTTTTACGGCCGTAAAGATCGTCTCTTCCTGCGAGTCTCTTAAAGGTAATTTCTCTGTGGAAATTGATGAAGATCCATGACCAGTTTGCTGGACAAACAGATTATTCGATAATAATTAATTCCATTGAGGAGTATCCTGAGAATCTATATATTCCAGACCATTTGTATATGAATATTGAATTATAATTCGTTTTGATTTGATTATTGATAAATACAATTGATCTATCTTGCCGATCTGTATGAATAATTGATTATACATCCATTATATTCGGTCGTTCATAACAGATTGGCAACGTAACCCCTTTGCCGGGTGATTTTTAACATGTATTGTTATCTGGGTCAAACCCATATCAA